GAAAAGACAGTACCCATTTCATGTCGGTGAGAAAGTGACTGAAGTCGAGATGCTAAGTCAGGATCGATTATATTACAGATACTTTTGATTTTGTCAAGAATCTCTAGACGTACAGAACGAACATCAGATTAGATTTGACAACAGTATTCAGTGCACGGACGAATGGTAGATTTGTAAATGTGTAAGATGGATTCAGTCGGGAAAATTTTTTTGGCCCGACACCAACATTCAGTGCAGTAGATGCAGTTAATTGATTTGATGTGGTCTCTCCATTTCAAGTCAGTGAAAAACGTGATGTCAAAGAAGATGCAGTGTGTTGCTCCCCTAGATAGTCTAGTGTCAGCCATGCTGATGGCAAGACTGAAAAACATTATTATTTATAAAAGTTGACTATACTTTTGTTGTTTTAAGGTTAATCGAGGTTTATGCCTTTTTTATACGTATATTTTACTTTTTGTATTTTTGTTTACTTTTTCTGTTGCAGTTTTTGGTTACTGTAATTTTTTCCCCTGCATTTTATCCTTGGTTTTCTACATTTATTTACCGATATCATGACATTAGTGATGGTCTGTAATACTCGCTCGTTAACCACAATGCCATGCGCGTTTCCGACGTTTATTTAAAATTCTTTTTGTACTGTCTATCATTACTAAATCGTTACTTGTTCAATAAATTTTCTCCATTTTCCATTACCAAGTTTTTTCTTTTTCATTTTTTTCATTTCTTCCATTACTTCTTCCCTCTTTTCCTACTTTATTGCTTCTTTTAAAATTATCTCTAAAAGACTCATTTAACGTCTTCCATCTTACGTTTCCCGTTAGTAAGTCATTAGAATCTATTGTTTCTAATCTATAATTCGATTCTCTCTACTTCTCTACTTCTGACTTTTCAATATATTCTCTTCATATTTTCTTTCTTTTCCTGGCTTTTCCAAAATGTTGTTCTATTTAAATTTCTATCAGTTTTCTTCATCTTGCTTCACGTCTGATAATTATTTTATATTCATTCTTTTATCTTTCTCTTTTATCGTCTTTCATTTCTTTCAAAGCTACCATATTTTCGACTTTCTTTATTGACTTAATAGACTCTCAGTTATTTGTTTTCTTCTGTTTTTTGTCTACTGGGAAACTATTCATTAGTATTATTATTATTCTAACAGCAGTCAATAACAATAATTTACAAGTCTCCTATTGACATTGTCTAAGATGCCTACACATATATACTTCAACTTTACTCTCAAACATATGTTACGATGAAATTTATTTGTTTATTTTGTTAAAAAAAAACAAGAAGAAAAAAAAACAAAACAAAAGAATGTTAACAAATCGTAAAAATCTTTAACTTTCGTAAGCAAAAGTTTTTGTATTTCCCGATTACACTGTCTCAAAATATTAGCAATTTCATATTTTATTGGCATGTAAATAAATACTTACTGAGAGTTAAAATTTATTTACTGAATGATAGCAAAATCAACCAGCGCAGACAAGTTGGAAACTGACTGGTTTTGCGCATAGGTAAAGAAATGGTAGCCATTAGCATGAAATATTTTGCATTTCAGTGTCAAATGTATCACCACATTGCTAGATTCTGAGACTTTAAATTGGATCGTAATACTTATTTGACGGAGGAAGATAATGGTTCAGCAACAATGGGAACCATTTTTACATGATAGGCCAGAAGTAAGTTGAAGATCCTGGACAACTCAGATGCAAATCTGATAAGGAAAATTTGAGGATCTTCTCTCGCTGATCTGTGTCACGTATCAAAAGATACGCAATTAAAAATCCATCTTATGTAATGAAAACCCATGTATTCATGCCAACAAATAAGTGAACAAAAAGTACAGAAAGTGGCAGAATATGCGATACCTGTCACTAGGCTTCCTTTAAATGATATCCATATAGATAATCGAATGAAATAAATAACGAAACACAACCAGATCGATTTTACAACAATATATTTCGTTGATGAATACTATGTTACCCTAGATACACCATACGGATGGAAACAAATCTGGCTGGTAACAGCCGGAGTAAAAATTGACATTCCAACAAGTCGAAAGTGGGGAGAGGTGGTGAAATAATGGGCTCATGGAATGTTAAAGATGGTGTTAAAACACAGTTCAAAAACGGATTGATGTCAGCCATGAATTCACGTTTCACGCGGCGCAATAATTTCATAAAAAACAATGCACGATATTCTCTCGTCATTTTACCGAAGAAAATAATGAATAAAATGTGTTTTAAACACTTTTCGCCCACTCATCACATGACTGAAAAATTGAAGTGAAGGTTGCTTGAGGTTTGAGCCTGACAATTAAAATACAGGCCTCAATTTTAGGACAAATCACTCACTGTCTCTCTTAAGATGAATAGAGTTCTTCAGTCACTGGCGTGTTTATCTAAAAATAAATACGTCTAAATTCGCCTTCATCCCTGCCGTGTTTAGGAGTAGAGTCTCCGACTGATACCAAATCAGTCGAATTTCGATCCCGGCTTGAGGCAGTCGGATGTCTAGCCTCACTGATGAGCTGTGAAACAGCGAAACAGTCTGTCCGTGGATGACGATATATATATATATATGTTTGTGTGTATGCATGTATGTATGTATGTATGTGTGTGTGCATGTGTGTATGCATGTATGTGTGTGTAAGTTCATTTAGAGTATATCTGTAAAAGTAAAATATGAAAATGTGACGTCCCTAAACACAGCCTTCGCTCGCTCCTCGCTGCTTCGTTCGGGTGTCGCCGCTCCAAACGTGACGTCCGCCTGTTGCGTCAGTCGTGTTGTCCCGTCCTGTGACGACCAACTGGCTTGGTATCGGTCGCGGCATCCAAATGTGACGTTCTAACCTTTTGGTGATTCGGATGGGAATCTGGTTAGATTCGATATCAGCCTCGTCGTTCCCAACTCGCTTCCAACGTCTGGTTACCAAAGTAACTGCATTGATCTCCAGTCTGCCTACCCACGTTGTGAATTGATCTTAGGCAGACGAAATCAATCAGTCGTCAGGGCCGTAATGCAAATTGAGTTCAAACGGGGGTGATATCACACAAATATGCATAAAAGAAAATAAAATGATAACTCGAAAGTTCAAGGTATCAAATAAAAGGATAACAAACTTTATGTCTAGTTGCTGGATACATAGGACTGCGTCTATCTCCCGACCCGTTCTATGGATTGTGACACGTTGTTTTCCGTTAGGGGAGTTTTAACACTTCAAGTTGTTTGCACTTTAAGAAATTGGTTCTTGGTGTGTCTTCGGGCGAATGTCGAAAAACTTATTTTGGTGGTATGGATCTAAGTCGTTCTTCAAAATAATTTGTTCTTGGATTGAAGATGAGTCCGGAAATTGCGCGAATCTTAGTCAGCTGATGCGAGGCCTGCTTCTGGGAAACTGGAGTCCGAACTTAACTCTGGAACTCTCTGAACTGTCTGATTTCTGCTCGCTGCGACTTTGCTTATATGGACGCCGACCAAAACCGGGGTGGGTTTGTCGGCGCCAGGGGTTCCTGGATAATTCTAAATACATATCCACTTCTTTTATTTTTGGTTAGGAATTTTCCACTTCTTTCCATTTTTGGGAGCTTTCTCTTACTCCCACCTTCTCACCCACTTCTTCGTAGCAACCTCTCATACCCATCCTCTAGATGGGCGGCGACAGCTTCCTCCTTGCGTCACGTGATCGCCACTCGGCCAATGATGTCCAGCCGGGCGTGTGCGATCCCGCGGGCTTTGTTTCAGGAAAAAATATATCTTGTTCAAAAAAAAAAAATTATCTTTTTCTTTTCCTTTTCTTTCCTTAATCGCAGCTCTCATTTTCTCTGGCCGCAAATAGAACAATGCGACCGGTGGTGGTCATAACTCTTGTTCTCACCTGGACTTCGTCAGTCAGATTATCGTTAATTATCAGAATGGGTGGTCTAGCGAAACACAGTCGTCCGTCGCCTCGAAAAAACAGTTCCATGGTTCTAGTCACACTTTGGCGCAAATTTCTGATAACATAGTTCTGTTATCGCAGCCAAAGAAGTCTGGTCAGCCGTTGCTTCGCGTGCGGCTTGGCAGACAACACAGTTAATTTTTCATATCTATCCAAAGCCCTGTATTTCACCTGTTCTTTGTCAATTATCAAAATAACATTTTCAATTGTCTCTGGTCGTGGGTGTTTTTTCTATCATCCACGATTGGGTCTCGCCTCTCTTTTCCTTTCTTTCCTTTCTCTTTTTCCTTTCTCTTCTTTTTCCCCTGGTAAATGGTGTCACCAAAAAAAAAAGAAAACTTCTCTTCACCAACGCTTTTCGTCCTCTGAGTTAAATTACTCACGCGCAAATACCGTTGCTATTGGTAAGTAGCAAGAAAAAGTGGGCCCTATATCCTTCGTTAAAAACTAGCCCAGTAGAAGGAAAATTTAAATATAAAAAAGAAGGCTTATGGTTGTCTGTTTTGTTAATTTAAGTAATATTCGCTCTGTTTTTATATTGAGCTCTCTGGATTACATCTTCCTCTCTGGATTACATCAATACACGGAAGGTTATTCGTGAGTATGAAGGGATTTTCTTAAAAATTAGCAGACATAATGTCTGTAAATTTTTCAGTCATATATATATATATATATATATATATATATATATAGTGGTATGGAGATCTTCCTGTGTTTATAAAATTGGCAATAATCAAATATCCCCACAAGTGATACGATGTGGTTCAGTTGATAGATAACTTGTCTAAACACTTATTTTCTAAATCTGTTACTCGCTACTTTTCAACTAATAATTTTTATTGTATCTTTCGTTAAGACTTATCACTGACAAAAAAACAAAAAACAACAACAACAAAAAAAAACAAGTATTACTTCTATTTATTAAAATTCAACAATGGAGAATAAATATCAGTAAAGTAGCGACATATCAAAGGGGACATAACTCGTGAATAACTATCCCCGACTGACATATTCAATAACCTATGTAATGAGATTCGAACGTAAGTGGTCATGTGACTTGTCAGTTTAATAGCAATTCCGGTGCTGAGGGCCGATTGACTTTGTAATTGGCTTTGGACTGAGAACTGAAGTCCAACCATGCCAACGGCGACCGCAGAGAGAGAAAGGCGTCGTAGTGGCGTAGGGCGATCAAAGAATAGACTCGTGATTCACTTAAAGAAGGAATAAATCTTCAATTTGTTCGCTGAATGCCTTTTAAGTAACGGTTCTCCGTGTGTGAGAGTGTTTGAATAGGAAGCAATTGTGGCTGGATATGAGCGGTGAAAGAAGGCATTGGGGATACAGTCGTTGAAGATACTGGAGTAAGGAAGCCGGGGAGAAGAAAAGAGATAGTAGAGAGAAGAAAAAAAATTAAACTGCAAACAACATCGAGAAAAGAAAAAACAAAAGAGAAAAAAAGAGAAAAAAAAAGAGAAAAAAGAAAGAAAAAAGACAGAAGGTGAAAAGGAGAAGAAAAAGAAAGAGAGAACAATTAAAGAAAAGGGAAGAAAAGACAAGGAAGAAGAAGAAACGAGTGGAAGAAAAGAAGAAGAAAAAAGAGAAGAAAAGAAAAGAGAAGAGAAGAAAAGAGAAGAAGAAAAGAGAAGAAGGAAAGAGAAGAAAGAAAGAAGGAAAGAGAAGAAAAGAAAGGTGAAGAAAAAGAAAGAGAGAACAATTAAAGAAAAGGGAAGAAAAGACAAGCGAAGAAGAAGAAACGAGTGGAAGAAAAGAAGAAGAAAAGTAAAGAGAAGAAAAGAAAAGTGAAGAGAAGAAAAGAGAAGAAGGAAAGAGAAGAAGGAAAGAGAAGAAAGAAAGAAGGAAAGAGAAGAAAAGAAAGGTGAAGAAAAAGAAAAAAGAAAAGAAAGAGGAGAAAAAGAACAGGACTAAGTGACAGAAAAGAAGGAAAATACTTGAAGTGGCAATAAACAAAGGAGGAAAAAGCTAAGTGAAGAAAATCAGAAAACTATTACTACTACTACTATTACTACTACTACTACTGCTACTACTACTACTAATAATAATAATACTAACAACTGATACAGAAATTAAGAAGGAGAGCCATGATGTTGCAGTAAATACAAAGAACTTGACAAGGAACACCTTCCTGAAAACTACAGTGACTTACTAAACGAAGCTTAGATATGGCATAAGGCCGAAAGTATGGAGCACTTGGTCGAACTCCCTACTGAGTAGTGAGTTCGATCATCACCAAGTGCTTCATTTCTTCAAGCTAATCATTACACCACGTCGTAGTGCCCAAGTTCATGGAAACCATACGAAGATTTCGAAAGAGAAATTTAGAGAATATATTACACGTCGACTACAACAGCACCAGGCGTAATAGGTGCCCTCGGCCTGGTCTGGAGAGATAAAAAAATACAACAAAATCCTCGTCAAAATCATGATATAAGAACTACAGTAAGTGGTCCTCGTTGGCACTTCTTGTGTATTAAGAAGAAAACCATTCATCGGATGAATCCAACACACTGTCATGTTAACCTCATGTCCAAAAGAATGACATTAAGGAGGAATAATAATATGTTACTGAAGCAGGTAGATAGCTTTACAGATATACCTCACAGTACGTCGGTAATTTGTTCCAAGAAAAGCGACTTAACTCGAAAAACGACTTAAGTCGAATTTAATTATCTCCAAAGTTACTTGTCATGAGGGTAAACCACAAATAACCATGCCCCGTTCTGTATTTTATTTATAAATGCATTTTTAATAATATATGGTCAATAAGAATCTATTTTAAACTTACAAATTGTAGTTATTAATATACTACAGAAAAAAAAATACTAATATATGTACGTACATACATGTAAATGTAGATGTTTACACTTTAGCGATCTTTACAGTACATTGCGGACACATTATTTGTGAATGTGATTTAATCTAAGACATTATAAAATAACGTTTTTCTAGTGACATTACGACTTCACTATTTGTCGCGGACAGACGTAAAGTCGAATAAAATGATTTTAACTTGATTTTTATTTTTCCACTAACAGCATGGCTCGGCGTTGCCCGTGCTTGATTCAAAAATCGTACGACTCATACAGCAATCGCTATCACTTGACTTAAAATATTTTTGCCCTTCCTTGCCTTTAAAGGAGTGCCCTTTGCCGTGCTGATGTTGCTACATGCCTTACTTCTTGCGAAATTTTTCTAAGCTCTATACTAAACATTAAATATGTTACGAAAAAAGAACTAAACAAAATGAACACAAAACGATCATCTTTAAAAAAGGACTCGTAACTGGGAAAACCGAATGAAAAAAGAATGTTAACAACAAATACTTTTTCACACCCAACCCAGTTCTGCGAAATCAGAATCAACGTTGAGTTTAAGCAAGCCAATGAGACAATTGGAGTAAAGTGCCATGCAGATTTAAATTTTTCCCCTGTGACGAATGCAGCTATCGATTTGTTTTGCATGCTAGCATGCTAGTTAACATTCGTGTCAGTCAGCTGTTGGCTCTCACGCTGGCCAATAGAATCTTCCTACCAATTCGTGACAGCCAGCTATACAGGCTCTCACTCCGGCCAGTACAAAATGGCCGAAAACTACATGAAAAGTGCCGTAGAAGCATGAAAAAATCGATTATTTCCACTATCGATGAGAGTTAGGAAATGCAAAGTCAGTCTTGGCCTTCCCACTAACTTGGAGCATGTGCATGTAAATTTTGGTGCAAATCTGTCGAAAATTGCGGCCGTGCATTCGTTACACACACACATCCTGCCTTTTATAGATAGAGATATACTTTTTTTTGACAAACGACGTATAATCAAGAACGACTTAACTCAAAACAGCATAACCCGAGGTATACTTCTATTTTGATGGCAAATGTTAAATTATTGATTTAGCTGTTTTATATGATCCTAAAGTGAATTAAAAAATACATGAAAATGCTGAAAATTACTCGGCTCTGTCTCGCGAGTTGAAGAACCTATGAAAGATGACTACTTATGTAATTCCTGTAGTAATGGATGCTGTTGGAACAGCACGAAACAGCTTGAATTGTCGCTTTGAGAAAATTGGATTTGAAACCAAGACTGGATTCTGTCAGAAAACTGACATGCTTTATTCTGTGAGAATTCTCCGGAATGTTATTGAGTTGCGAAGAATGTTGTTGATGCCATGTCTCAAGAACAGAATTTCTATAGATTAGGTCAATGTGCGACACCAACATGATAATAATAATAATAATAGTTTTATTTTTAGTTTGTTACCTGGATTGATTCTTTTCGGCGCAAGTGTTGATTAGGGTACAAAAATAAAGCACTTTTGGTAATAAAAAAAAAAAAACAAGAGCAGACGATGCTACCGAGATACGAAGAATCAACGTCAGAGAAAAAAAATCAGTTTTATAATCTCATAACGTTGCTCGTCTTTGGAATAACTTTTTTTGTTTTCACTCGAAGCATTTCAACAATACTACTGAGACGCAAGGGCCTGCTAGTAGTGATAAAGAATAAAACCAGAAAACCACTCCTAAGCAAGAAACAAGGAATAACCGTTTACTCCTGTTCAAAAAAAGTGAAGGAGTGTGAACCGGGCAATAGGTGAACCTGTTGCACAGAACTTTAAATATGGTTCTTTTAGCTGGCAGTTGTTACTTTTACTAGATTTTTACATAAATTCGATCGTTTTTTTTTCATTTATTTTAATACTGATTATTTATTAAATAGATCTAATGAATTGTTCAACAGTATATTCATTGTTTCCGACCTCCTGTCAACGATCCACTAACTGTTCAATGCCTCGACAATAAAAAAAATCACTAGGTTTCGACGCGAAAAATCAAGTCCCGTTTTAAGCTCCACAACTTTGTTGAATGAATCACCCCTCAAATTGCTAGAAAGAAACTGAAAATGCTTGAAGTCTGGAGTGACTAATTAAAGAGAATACAGTGGATGTGGAAGGACTTCCCAACCAACCCCTTTAATTGTATATTTGGTTATTTTAGCGACGTGGGGGGGGCGATAATTGTCATGTTGAATAATCTCATTGTATCGTCGATCAGGTCTTTTCTGATGAATTGACACTTTGAGCCTGTTCACTTTCTTAACCTACAATTCAGAATTGATTGTTAGGTTTTTCAAGACCTTACCCACTGTGTAAAAATGACGAGCGACAGTAACATGAGAGCCTGTCATCTTCTGAACCAACTTCAGAGTAGTCTGGTGCAGTTCTTTAATCAGCACGTGCAATTGGTTCCCATCAAATTTAAAATGTCGCCCAGAACGCAGACAGTCTGTGTGAGTTCGAACTTTCCCTGCTTGAACGGCAAACCCCATATCTCTGCTATTCTGTTGGTAATGAAGCCATCTTCATATACAGCACAAATGTTTCGAACAACGTTGGCAGCTTTGATTAAATGATAAGATGCCTAGCTGACATTCTATCTCAAATAGGTAAATTGTTAGAATAAAAAAAAAATCAATAACGTTAGACAACGGTTTAACAGGATCACTAGAGGTACCAAGAATCAAGAAAATGCCATTAATGGTTATTCTACGTGAACATTAGGAAAACGAACGAATATATGAAACAACCAGATATTTCATTTGGAACTTTACTCTGAAAATATCAATAAGATCTATTGATCTGCATTTAATACATATTGCCTTTCGGGTTTTATGCATTGCTGGTTGACTCGCAAAGCTTTAAATTGCTGAAACACCAGGCTGGATTTTTGTTCTTCATTCATTGCATTTTCTCTTGGTTCATTCACACAAGCGAATCAGTTCGCTACCTTTTATAATTAATTCAAGAAAGAAGTTCTTTCTTATACAAAAAAGAAAAAAAATATCTGTAATTATAAACTTTCGTCTTTAGATCATGAATTATTTACATTCGCTGGAGTAAAGGAATTATTTGCCATTGCCAATCTCCTCTGTTAGTTTCAGTGGTTGGCGGCATATACATATGAAGTCTTTCTCTCCTATCTTTCTGACGTGAATGACAAAAATCATTATTTCGTTTATATAAAAAAGAATGTCATGATAAAAATGAAGGCGTCTGCCATTTTTTTTGTGCCCTACTACTGTGTATTTCGTTTATGATCTGCCTAGGAAGATTCTCAGATCACTGATAAGGAATGCAATAACACACTACCAGTGTTTATGGGATACACTTCCAAAAATCCAGGTTTACCATGATCGTGCTCTAACAGTTCAATTCAGCAATATATTTTTTAAACATTTCCCGCTCCCCAACGAAAGGAAATAAAACTACAAAGACACAAGGAGTTACTGGGTTTGAAAGAATATATTAAAAAAATATTATTAAGGAGCGAGAACAATAAAAGAAGAGGAATCAAGAAGACAGTAGATAAAAATTGAGATTGCATTTAATTTTGTTGGCTTGAAAGTATGGAGCCGGAAAAGAGTTCCACACGCGTGAAGTACGGGGAAAGAAACTGTTAGAAAAGAACTTACGGTTATATCTAGCCATTTTAACTGTAAAATGATGAGACCTAGTTGCCAATCTAGTACTGCGCTTAAATTCATAAAGTTTACGTACCTCGGGGGAAGGGGACTTCATCAGAACGATTATCCTGAAAGTAAATTTGAGACGGCGCAAGGTTAGAAGACGATAGGAAATTGACTGAAGCCGAGACGCCAAGTCAAGACCAATAACATTGAAGGTTCTCCATTTTTGTTTTTTAAATGACAAATCGGGATACGGAGTCATTTGAAAGGTTGGCGGTCTCTTTAAATTGCGATGAATGTGCGTGTTACACATTCGAAATCAGCCACGACCTGATCGTAGCCGAAAAGGACGGAGACCGATTATTTGACCACGGTATCGAAAGAGCGGTAAGTTCGGCACAAGGATCTATCTATCCCTGACGCGAGCTTTTCGAAGGAACATC